TCCTGCCACAGCCTCCCTGGAGTTCCGACCCGGCATTCGGATCATCTGCCCTGCGGCTCGTAGACAGGGTGTCAGAAGGGGTTAGAGAATGAGATTAGTTAGCATACTACGGGCACGAAAATTCAATACACGTTTTGTGCTCATAGTGAATAGCATTGGCCTCGTATGTGGATAATTTTATTTGACGGTGGCGCTGTATAAACTTTTTATTAGGTGACCACACAGCGTTTGTTTCAGATAGTGGCCGGAAAGCCACTTTTACAGTTATCCAGCTGAACGATGCTCATTTCAGTACAGTAACTTTTACGGGAGCCAGAATATGGGTATTGATGGCCGAGACATTCTTCAGTTAAAAACTTTATTGTCCTTTATAGTGATTTCAAAGTCACTTGCCTCGATGTGAAGTATTTTCCTCCTTCAGGTTTTCGGAGCAGCTCCGTAGAGTGACTTGACCACTGCCACGTCACCCCTGTTCTTACGTGAGAAGAGGGGGCCTCGGGGAAGTTTGCGCACTTGCTGGAAAGCACAGCGAGCCAGGAGTTAGGCGCGGGGTTCCGCCCCGATTCTGGTGCGGGTGTTTGTGTTCGCTGCGTTCCTCCGCACGGGCTTCGCGTGTGCGGGGCCCGGCGAGCAGGTGATCCGGAACGTTCAGCGTGCGCTTTGATGCCCCGAGCGTCCGCTGCGGGCGAGCTCATTGGGCCGCGGTGTGTCCATCGGCCGTGGGGGAGGAACGGCAAGGGAGGGGTGCAGTCGCGCAGCAGAAAAGCGGGGACGCTGTGGTTGTGGCCACTGAGGTGACTGAGTTCCCGTTTCCCCTTTCTCTGTCCTTTTTGGGGGGGTTCCCTCCCTTTTTCCCTTAAACGGCCTTCGGTCTCCTGTCCTTTCTCACAGCCTTTCTTCCGTCCCGTGGGGACCAGTCCCGGTCTGCGGGTTTGTGAAGAGTAGTGTCGTGTGGGCGGTGAGAAATCCTAGGTGCCTTCGCTGGGGGCGGAGGAGGGGGAGGGACACGGAGGACAGGGGCGTGGGAACTGTCGAGCCATTCAGCCCGCGATTCGTGGCCACTCTCGGGGAAGAAATGTGCCTGTTAAAATAAAAATGCTAGAATCGTATGCGACGTTTCTGGAATCTCGTCCAAACTTACTCTGTTCGTGTGACACGTCCGTAAAGAAAAGCAGAGATACAGACGTCTGAGAGCAGTGAGCAGATTCCGCTTCTGCGCGTCATCACTTCGTGCCGCGGGTGACGAGTCACTCAGCTCCGCGGGAGGCAGCTCCTAGAGCCTGCGCCGAGGAGAACCGCGAGTTCGTCACCACCACCATAGCGGTGACGGTGACAGTGACTCTTCTCCCGGTCTGCTGTCACTTTCGCCATACTCTCGGCATCCTGGACGTACAGATGGAAGCAGCTTTGAATGTTCTAGTTATGTCAGAATTCAAGATCGAAGTCCGCTGCTGTGTTTGCAGAGAGGCTGAGGATCAGGCTGCGGTCTCGTGTACACGCACTTGAGAGTTTAAGAGATGCACGTGGGCTGAAAGAGTAGTCGTAATAGGTTGCGATCGAACCAAGTTCAACTTTGTAGGAAAACATGTACAGTGAATTAATTTCCGTGCAGTTTATATATAAGGTAACTAACTCCTTTAGTTCTAAAGGAATTTTACTTTAAAAGGGTTTTTTTGGGGGGTGGGGCATGTTTATAACTCTTCGCTTATCTACCACCTAATAGCTACAGAAGTTCCCTCCACAAGACCTTAGTCACACGAGGGCATCGAAACGCGGGTGGTGGCCTTTGTGCCGCTGTTAGGTCTAGGTCGGGGCTGGATCCACCGGCCACTCTCTCTGTGTCCTTGATCATTCTGAGTCTCAGTTACTCCGTTTGCAAACGGTGTAAACGATACCCATCTTTTCTGCCTCTCACCTTGCTGAGTACATGTGTGCAAAAGCACTTGTTAAGTCATCAAAGACTGTGCAGAACTGTTGTTAACTATTACTTTTCCATTTAAATTTTTTCTTTCTCTGATTCTTTCTTTAAAGAGTTCTGTGCTTTTCCTTTCTCCTTCTTATAAGCTGGAAGAAAAGAGATTTAGAGTGATCGCTCATTTTTGACTTAACTGCTACACACACACATACACACACTTTTTAAAACAGAGGAAATAAGTCCCAGAGAGGTTAAGTGACTTGTTCAAGGTCGTAGAGCTACTTAGTGACAAAACTGATTGGCATTTGATTCAGTTCATTCTCGTATCTGCAACTCTGTGCCGCATCTCGTGTAAAAGTGACACTGAGCTAGTCTGGCCCACTTTGTGCCAGTTTGAGGACTGCTGGGACACTTAACGCCTTCCTTCTCCGTCTCCCACTTACTCCAGTCCTTCTGTCCTCTGACTTAGCCGACGTCGTAGTTTAAATCGTCCTCCTTTAGATAAGTCTTCCGTGATGTCCCCAGATGTTCTTCATGCACCTTCTCTGCTCTGCTCGGTCATCGGTCATCGAGGCCGCTCTCCCTGGGCCAGGCCTGGCTCCCCGGGTCCCCGTAGGAACTTCTCACTCTTCCCGATTTATATGCTTATTCGGTTTTCTTTTCCCTCGTTTTCCTCCGTCAGCCCCAAAATCTGGCTTCGTTCGTCCGCCGTGTTTTCCGGCGCCTCTGCCTTGCCGGCGCGGCTCTGGGTCGCTGTTACCCGCTCAGTTGTTTTTACTTGATTTTTCACGTGAGGCCTTTCGGTGCCGCCGGGTGTTTTAGCCTCAGCCTCCCGTTCGTTCCTGCCCACTCCCAGTTTGCCTGGCCGCATTTTGCTACTGTGCTTAGGTCCCACCTCCGTTTCTACTCTGCACTTGAAACATTGTTCGTGACCCCAGGGGATGCGTTCGGAGCATTTGCCAAGCCCCGCTTACAAACTGATGGATGCTTAACCAGAATCTTCCCTTACAATGGTTTATTCCACGGCTGCGTTTCCTCGTCCGAACTCGGCACTGTCCTGCCACCTCCCCGGAATGTTCTGTGCTTTATTGTCATGTTTCCAGAACTGAGTTAACAGGTTTATTTCTGAAGAGCTCGGATGGTATCTGTAGCCTCAGTTTGCTTA